GATGTGACTTGAAGCTTCCTGCTCCTGAGGCATGGCTCCTTCTGGAAGCACACTGACCTTGTGTAGGCAAGTTTAGATTAGCAGAGATGCCGAATTGTGTCCTGTACAATTACAACAACTGAATTGGCTGTTGTGCCATGATATAGAATGGTGGCTCACTGACAAAGAGATACGGTAACAAACGGGATTAGTTGTGAAAGTGATATTATCACCTACTTTCGGGTTGTGTAATCATTCAACTATTCAGACAGGGCATCTTGTATATTACAAAATTATAATTTTTTCTCCCACAGGGTAGGCTTATGAGGGATATTCCCACGTTATGTTTTGGCCTTCTTCCTCTGAATTCTCCACATTATGGTGTCAACAGGCAATTCTCCAATCTCATTTTTACAGCAATGGAGGCAGTCCATTATACAGAGATAGACAGTTTTGGATGCGTTTTTTTTTTTACTACTGAAAAAAGTTCTTTGGTCCAATCCCCAGTAAATGAGAAAAGGTGGAAGGTGGAAGTTTCATAGAAGGAGAAACAGAGAGTGCTTTGTGCACCATCCTGCTGAGTTTCTTTCAGAGTTGGCGACTTTAAGATGTATGGACTTCAACTCCCAGAATTCCCCAGCTAGTGTGTTCCTAGAATACAGGTTGAGTTGGAGTACACCACAGGTGTTATCCAGCAGGTTCTGACCAGTTCTGGAGAACTGGTAGCGGAAATTTTGAGTAGTTCGAAGAACTGGTAAATACCACCTCTGGCTGGCCCCGCCCCCATCTATTCTCTGCCTCCCGAGTCCCAGCTGATTAGGAGAAAATGGGGATTTTGCAGTATCCTTCCTCTGCCACGCCCACCAAGCCACGCCCACAGAACCAGTAGTAAAAAAAATTGAATCCCACCATTGATACACACACTTAAAGTTGCCAACTTTGAAAAATGTTGCTCTAATCCAATGCCTTTCTTGCCATGGTTGTTAAGTAAATCCCTGCAATTGTTAAAGTTAGTAACATGTTTGTTAAGTGAAATTGGCTTCCCCATGGACTTTGCTTGTCAGAAGATCTCAAAAGGGGATCACGTGACCCTGGGACACCGCCACTGTTTTAAATATAAGACAGGTGCCAAGTATCTGAATGTTGATCACATGACCACACGGGGATGTTGCAACCGTCGCAATTGTGAAAAACGGTCTTAAGTTCCTTTTTCCAGTGCCATTGCAACTTGGTCACTAAATGAATGGTTGTAAGTCAAATCCAAATTTGGGGGGGGGAAATCTTCTAGGGCTTTCCGTTTTAGTTTCCACCTTTTTTTTCTCTGCCAAATAGTTGCTAATTTTCGCTTCGGGTTAAAGTTTCTTTACCTTGGGTTGATCACTCTTTCACCCAGGGCCAACATTTTGTTCCTGGCACCTCTCCTGCTCAATTAGCTTGGTCCGGTTGCCCCAACTTTAAAGCGGCTATTAATATGGCTGCTGCCGCTCCCGCTGTCGTAAAGTTTGAAGAACTTTATCTCGGACCTTTTGAGGAACTGCCGGTTCCTCTTTGGTTGCCGAGATGCTTCTTCTTTTTCACCTGTTCCTTCAGAACGGTTCTGACCCGAAGATCCCTAGCAGCAGGTGTCCAGCTGGGTTTTCACGGAGCCCCTCAGAGCTCCACTATTTTCCCAGCTGTTCCCGTCACGACGCTTCCGGCTTCCCATGAATGGTTGTAAGTCGTGGACTGCCTGTATTTCATTTTTTGCAAGTTTGGCATCCTTACTTCTCCGTGCAAATTCTATATAGCAGCTTTTGACAATGCCCAGGGAATAAAGTTTCCATCAAAAAGCAAAATATCCCAGTTTTCATAGAAAGATGCTGCTCGGATTTATCCCGATGGGCTTTAGCATGGCTCTTGCGCAAATCAAGAATCATGAAAATAAAAGAGCAGTTGCCTTTCCACACCTCATACTGGTAATAGGAAGATCTCCAGAGGACAAATCTGGTATAAATGGGCCAAAACATAATGTGTGAATATGAATTACTTCTTGTGCAATATGCTTTAAATATATATATGTTTTTGGTGAAATGCCTGTTTCCCAAGATTTTTTAAAAAATATTTATTTAAAAAGTCAAGATGTTATCATTTTCTTGGAGAAGGAAAATGAAGGAAGGAGGAAGGAAGGAAGGAAGGAAGGAAGGAAGGAAGGAAGGAAGGAAGGAAGGAAGGAAGGAAGGGCTTCTCAACTATAGATAGGAAGTGCCAATAAGAAAAAGAATAATGCAATTTATTTAGCTTGGCTTCCACCTCTCTGCTGTTCTTCAGATGTGACGGGACTGCAGATCCCATACTTCCCATCCAGGCTGACTAGAAAATTTGAAACTTGCCATCTCAATATACGGGTACCCGGAAACTTCCAAACTGGAGAAAGCAGCTTCCAATCTAAACATTCTGCTGCTTTTCTTTATTATCCTTGACTATTAATCTCGACACGCCTGCAGTAAGCAGTTGACTTTCAACAAAGAATATTCAATCTGGATTGCTCCTAGGGCTGTTTGGCTGGATTTTTAATGCAAAGAGCGTTATTTTCAAATGGTAGAATATACATCAAATAATTTGTTTCAGATGAAAGTTACCTGGGACTCAGTGTCCTGTTTTCAGAACAATGCCCCCCCCCTCCCCAAAAAAATACCCCATACTGGAAAACAGATGTCTTCCAAAATAAATAACTTTTTCATGGCTGTTTATCCCTATTTTTGTAATCACGTGCTTTATAAACCTGTGATTACCATCACCTTTTAATCTCATATAGGGATGTATGTGAATGTACTTAGAGAAATCTAATTTTCCTTTTTTTTTTCTTTTTTAATGATGGAACAAATACATTACAGACATAACCTCCCTTGGGGGAGGGGGTTTGTTTGTATTTTGATTCACAGCCGTTTTGATTTGTATGTTTTCGATCTGCATGTGGTTGGTTCTATTAAAATTGCTACCCAGATGAAATATGATGCAGAAGGGGGGGGCGGGGTTAGGGAAATTATAGATTCATCAAACACTTCGGTAATGTTTTATACAATTTACAGCCGGTTAAGCATTCATAAATAGAATATCGGATGCCACACGAAACAGAGAGCTGCGAGTATTGTCTGGGAAAAGCATCTTGTGTTCTTGTCCTTGAAATTTATTTCTGGTTCCTTTGGAAAAGATTTGAAGAACTACACTTTATATCTGCTGGAAGTTGCCTTGTTTCTCCTAAGAGATCTTCCATGAATTAGATTTTGATCAATGTTTCCTTTTCTGCTCTTTTAAACTGGGATAGTTGGAACCTCCGGCAAGTTCCATAGAGTTTATAGGTTACAAAATTAAGCAAAAGTTTTGGTTGATCCTTCCCCATTTCTCCCCTTACAGTTTCTTGTCTGCTTCTAACACCTAACCAATTCTCTAGACTAGAGCTTTCTATGAAATCTGGCCTGAAAGTATTCTGCTTAGATCACAGTCAGGTTAGAAAGAAGACAAGTTTTGATTTTAACTCCTTTTTCAAACTGTAACAAAGCAAGACATCCCTGCTTCTCAAGTCTAATCAGAATACAAAATCTGATTAGCAGAAAGCTTTATTTCATATTCAGACTTAGAAAATATGGAGAAATATAGGAAGGAAGGAGAAATCTTCCTTCTTTCCTTTTTCTCTTCCATCCTTTCTTCCTTCCTCATTACTCAAAGCCAAAACAACTAAGACCAAAATAATAACAATAACAATTAACCATTAAGAGAGACCAATGCCAAATGAACAGATGCATTTCTAAGCTAAAACGTCGCCCAAACGTATTTCTGAAATTGGCATACAGTTTGAGGCTCTTTACATACCATCCTATCCAGTGTTTTGATCTGCTTTGGAGGTTCCATCAATCTCTGGAGCAGATTTGGGAGATGCTGCAGGAAGGGATGGTATGGAATATATTGGGGTGGAGAGCGTGGGGGGAGAGCATTGAGTGTTAGACATCATGCTAACCAGGAATGTTTGCAACAGATGAGGCTTGTGGGCCAAATATGTCAAGGTGGCAACCACAATTACAATTCTTAAATTAATTAATAATTTGATTTTTGGGATGCCCTCTGCAGAGCTCCTTGTGATTCTGAAATATTTCACTTTCCACATGTTGTGGGTCCTATAATCAGTTGCAAAATTATAGAACGTCTCAAAAAGAAAAAGGAACTATGAAAAAGACTCATGCAGATGTATCTGAATTATTCTAACATCTCATCTGAGTCAAACTTGATGCTTGGTCATTTATCCCATCCAGCGCTAACCGATCTGACCTCACCTACCAGCCAAAGATGGCTAACGCATCATGTATCTTTTTCTTTCCAAATCCAATAAATTAAATAAATGAAACTAAATTAAATAGTAAAGGTAAAAGTTTCCCTGTCCAGTCGTGTCCGACTCTAAGGCACGGTGCTCATCTCCGAGGAGCCAGTGTTGTCCAAAAACATTTTCCACAGTCATGTGCCTCGCATGGCTATATGCCAAAGGCACACAGAACGCTGTTATTTTCCCACCTGTGGTACCTATTAGTCTACTTGCATTTACATGCTTTCGAACTGCTAGGTGGATAAGGAGCTGGAGCAAGGAACGGGAGCTCACCCGTTGCGTGATGCTCGGGTCCCAGACCCGTCAGCTTTTCAGCTGACAAGCTCGGTATCTTTAACCACTGAGCCATTGCGCCCCCTTCTAAATTAAGCAAGGTGCCCAAAATTCAACCACTGTCTCGTCAGTCACATAGTAAATACTCCCACCAATTAAGTTCAGCTCCTGATGCCTACCTCAACGCATTCGTGAAGTTTTCCTGACAACGGCACAGAAGGGATCTCCCAAGATATTTTTGTATTTTTGACTTCTCAGGCGAGTCCCCCTCCCAATGGCTTCTCCCTTAAATACTACCAAGGTCTGAGGTCAGCCAAGGTCGGCTAGGTGCTGCCACCTAGCTGGAAATGTGTGAATAGACTTTTTTCCCCTCCACCAATCTGTCCAACCACAGGGCTGCTCCTCACCAATTGTCGTGAAGTTTGCTGATACCCAAAAGGACAAAGAGCAAAGACGTTTACAGCAGCAATTGGCACAACAAATGCAACAGCTCAATACTGCCACGTGGGGAAACCTTACAGGCCTTGGAGGATTTACCCCACAGTACCTGGCTGTAAGTAATCGTCACATTTATTTACAATATTCTCAGAGCAAGCTTGCCATGCTGGGTTAAGTGGGCATGGTTTAAATAAAGCAGGGAGCCTCTCTATCGTTTCAAGCAGGGGTGTCCAAACTTGGGAACTTTAAGACTTGTGGACTTCAACTCCCAGAATTCCCCAGCTGGGGAATTCTGGGAGTTGAAGTCCACAAGTCTTAAAGTTCCCAAGTTTGGACACCCCTGCTTGTAAGGGTTGTGGAAATGAATTCATTGCATCAAATTGTCCTGCAAGGGGATGTGAAAGAATATCTGAGATTAAGATAAAAGATGGCAGTGAGATTTCCTCCAATTGATGCTGTCACATTTTAATAGACGAAGTTTCTGGGTGAATGATCGCATTCCGAGATGCCCCCTGCAAGCATGCAGATAGAGACGCTCGCACATTTGACTGCGGTTCCGGGTTTTTGCACCACTCGAAATGTTTTAGACAGTGATGGGAAGGTCTACATTTGTGTCTTTTTTCTTAGCAATGGATTGTGTGTACATTTATCTCTTTTAATAGCTTAAGGCCCTTTAAGAGCATGTTATCACTGAAAGCTCTGCCTTTCAGATAAAAGTTGCCTATACCAACCAGCTCAATTGCAAATTTTAGAAGCTGCATTCACACAACACGCTCGGCAGAGGTGGGTTGCTACCTGTTCGGGTGAACCGGTAGTGGAAATTGTGACTGGGTCGCTGAACCGGTAGGGGATGGCAGCCTTGCCACGCCCCCAAACCAGTTCCCCCATCGCTGTGGCATTTTTAATGTTTTGAGCATGCTCAGGCCTATTTACAGGCAACTGCGCACACAATCACGCATGGACCAAACCAGCAGTAACGCCAGCAAAAACCCACCCCTGATGCTCAACTGGGTTAATGGCTCCCTTACCTGCTACATGGCACAGCGTGTTGTATGAAAGCAGTGGGTTTATTCGTTCTTTGATGCAACGTAGAATGCAAAATTAGAAAATGGGTTAATTCAGGAACCAGGTCCAGCGCATAGTATAAAGAATACAGGTCTCTACTATATAGATTCTCAGTCGGTTGTCCCAAAGGTGCTTTTTCGAAAGGCAGCTGAACAAAGGAAGTCCAGCTGCCTTTTGAAAAAGCACCTTTGGGAAGAACCCGGTTGAAGTTCAAATACAGGTAGTCCTCAACTTATGACCACCATGGAGCTCCAAGTTTCCATCGCTAGGTGAGGCGATTGCGAAGTGAGTTTTGCCCCATCCTTTCTCATCAACTATTGTTGGGTAAATCCCTGCAGTTGTTAAGTTAGCAACTTAAGTGAATCCGGCCTCCCCCATCGACTTTGCTTGTCAGGAGGTCACACGACCCCCCCACAGGACAACTGCAAACGTCATAAATATGAGTCAGTGGCCAGGCACCTGAATTTCGATCATGCGACCGTTGGAGTGCTGCTCCCATCGTAAGTGTGAAAAACGGTCATAAATCACTTTTTTCCAGTGGAAAAGTCACCAAATGAACTGTTGTAATTTGAGGACTCCCCGTATGTATTTGGAACTGCAGTCTGTATCTCTTATTACCCAGAAGTAAGGCCCATTGATTTTAATGGGACTTGTTTCTAAGTAGACATGTTCAGTTTGTACTAAAAAAATTCAATAAAGAAGCCATCAATTCTCTCTAATTTTTGGGATCCTGACCGGGAAGGATTTGGTGGAAGCTCTCTGCGCTTCACACATTCTCACATACCGCCCTAGTTCTCTTTTGGAAATTTGTCCACTCCCTCAATGGCTGCTTCACAATGGCTGTATTCACACAACATGCTTCCTCTTTTTGGCTCAACCCCCGCTGAAACTGCCCTGATGCCAAAGGAACACCACACAAAGCCCACTATCACACACGGTCTATTTTGTCTCCCCTTTCGCACAACCCCATTTTCTCAACTGGCATAATACACTTGTCAAGGCTAAGCAAATCAAAACTCTTGAGACTTGGCTCTCTTTCGCAGAAAGCCCTTCTTTAATAAGTACATCATATCGGCACAGCTTCAATGGAAAACTGGATCTAAATATTTCCTGCGGTTTCAGTATAATTAAACTAGGAAGTAACCCAGGGGTGGGCTTCAAAAATTTTAGCCAGGGGTTCTCTGCCCAGTTGCTTGGTGGGCATGGCCATAGTGGGTGTGGCCTAGTCACCCTCCTGCACCGTGGGATGGGGGCGTTTTTGACCTCCCCAGGTTCTCGGTTGCTTTTCAAATGCAATGTAAGAAGCAGGTATTAAACAATATAATTAGGGTTGTTTTGCCAGAACGACATTATCCTAAGCAACATTTGCCCGTTTAATTTTGGCAGCTCGGTGGCGAGGCCATTTTTTTAAAAAAAATCCTTTTCGCATGTACGTGTGCAAAACAAACATCTTGCAAAATGCAATGGTTAGATTCACTAAATATGAGACACGCAATCAGGTCAACTGAAGGCTGACTGGCTGCCTTCTGAAACCCAGATTAACAAATCGCAATTCCTGCCTTCACATAAAATGTGACAGCCCCACAAATAAGCCATCATATAGCTTCACGTGGTTGACCTGATGTGCAAAGATATGGATACAAACGCATCCCTTCCAGCGGCGGGTTTCACGTATTGTTACCACCGGTTCATGGGCACACGGGCCCTTCCATGCATGCCCCCAACCTTCCATGCATGCACTTTGCTCATATATATGCCTTCCGCGCATGCGCCTGGCCTCAAAAATATGCCTAAATAGGATCACATAGAGCCAGGGCACATGGTCAATCCCACTCGCGATTTCCACTACCAGTTTTGGCAAACTGGTCCGAACCGACTGAATACTACCTCTGATCACTTTTCCTGCAAAAAAAGAAATGTTCAAGATTTGATCTGGGAAAGAGGACTTCCATAGCTAGTCCAACCTACATTCAACTATGTGCTAGAAGTACAATTGCAAGAATTCCCACCTGGGAATGATGGAAACTGCCATCTAAATTCAGTGGGAAGGTTGGGAAGGAGAGCTTGTTCCCATCTATTAAGTTTTCCTTACTCACTCCCTCGCTAGATGCAGTTACAGAAAAGAGCTCTGTGTTCCCTGATGGTTTAAATATGTTTTCCATCATATTGACTTCAAAGTCATACGCAAGTTTGGTAAAAAGAAGAGTAACAGTGCAGGGGAATCTCGCGGGGACAAATAATCACCATCCCCAAATTCTTCCTTCAAGTTACTCCCCCATCCCTATGTATCTGAAGCATTTCATGATCTGTGTTTGAAGACCTGATGGCCTTCTGCACCCGCCTCCAGATCTCACATTCTTCAGATCTCAAGTAATTCTTCACCCATCGCATCAGGATTGACATTGGTTGTTCATAAATACACAGAATTAATGGATATGAAAATGTTCGGTGGCAGTCTTCTACACAGGAGGGGAAAAATAATTATCTAAATTTCTCAATGATCTGAATTATGTTGTTTGTTACTTCCCCCACACACACACACACGCACACTTTTTGTCGCCTTTCCCTGCTGTGCATTTAGATAAAAGGGGCCAAGCTCCATAATTATATTTTCTGAATGCAGCATCAGTACACAGGAGTGGCATTGTGGGCTTTCATTCAATACAGCTATTTTAAATTTCATAATTGGATGTCAATTTGAAAAGATTTTTTTTTTCACCTTGGTGAGATGGTTCAGGTTCCCAGTTAACCAATGCATTTTTACAGCACCTTCTTTTTCTCCCCTTTCCACTCATGTATTAAGCTGCATAAGTAGCTGCCTGCTTTGATCAAACTGTGATAGTTAGCGATATAGCGACCAGGTTTTCTATGAGGCTTGAGACTTAGAATGACAGTTTGGTTTGAAGGATCAGGACAAACAGCATTAGAATGGATCTTCGATATTCATTGGGAGGGACATCAGCAGTGATGGGATTCAGCCGGTTCGCACCTATTCGGGAGAACCAGTTCGTAACTTTCTAAGCAGTTTGGAGAACCGGTTGTTGGAAGAAATCTTATTTTATTTTTTTCCCAGTTTACAGGGATAATCCTGTAAGGAAGGCAGGAAGGAAACATTCTGGTGTTGTTTCTAGCCTCATCTTTATTGCCCTGCTTACAGAAACTGCCTCTCGGGTTAACCCTTAGTACATTGTTACAGCTAAGGCGAAGCGCCCATTGACGTGACATTATTACAAGACCACCAAGCTATGCCTACCCAGCTGGTCATTATGGCAGAGAACTGGTTGTTAAATTATTTGAGTCCCACCACTGGACATCAATCAGAATGGGTGTTGGTTCTTACCTGAGACGCCCATCAAGGCATAGGTTATGCTTGTCTGTCATCCAATAGGACTGAGTCTGCAATCCTAATGTCCCGCCTCCTTCAGTAGCTCCACCCAGCTTTGTGACTCAGTTTGTTTTCGAGACTGGACGTGGTAACAATCTCTCCCAAAAGAAATTTCCATTTTTCACGCATTCCTAAGACATTTTACAAAGCTTAGGGTAAGCTTTGATCTGCACTGTGGGACATGCAAGTCTCTTTAGGCAAAAGAAACTGAAAGCAGAAGTTAGGGGGAAAGGAGAAGGAATTCTAAATTTATTTTACATTGTGCACCTCCTGGCTTTAGTCCTTGAAATTCTACACCTTTCTGCTTTTTTCAGGATCTCCTCCATTCCACCCAACCATGGTTTCCTGTCTTCGGCTTTCTTTAGAACCACAAATTCTTCCTCCGTGTATTATTTCTTTTGCAGTTTTATTCTCAGTCATCGTCTCTGTATCACTGAATAATCTCATCATTTTTTTCCTCTCTTCCCGGACATCTTTGATCCCATCTCTTCTGGTTTTTACTGCATGCATTTCTAAACTAACCCATTCCCACATAATCCATCTTACTTTGTGGTTCTTCTGACATGCGTAATTCTCACGTCCACGTAATGATGTAGATCAGGAGTATCCAACCCTGGCAACTTTAAAAAAAAATTTGGACTTCAACTCCCAGAATGCTGAGTGAGGAAGTCTGGGAATTGAAGTAGTAACTTTAAGACTCATAGTCTTCAACTATCGCATGCTGGCTAGGGAATTCTGGGAGTTGAAGTCCACAATTCTTAACTAGCCAAGCTTTCAACAAGCTTTCATTGTTCACACAAATCACACAACTACCAATTATAATTTTACTAGCATTTGCAAATCTTAAGTTTCCTTCCTTTCCTCCCTGTTACCCTCCCTCCCTCTCTCCTTCCTTCCTTCCTTGTCCCCGACTTTAGCAAACACTCTGCCAACACACACAGGTTCATATTACTTTTTTGCCATATTCAAATCCATATCCTCTGCGAATCATACAGTTTAATGTTCACTACAATCATTTGGGTTTTTAACCTCTAATATATCATTTGCATGTAAGGATACACATTCATTCTCATGCCTCACCCGAAATACTTCTAATGTCATCATAAGCTTTCCATATATATTTGTTATACTAATAACTCCCTAAGTCAAACATCCAGGTCTTTGATGTTGAATCATTCAAAATGATTAGTTCTGATAGTCGGCAATTAACTCCATTACATAAATGAATGAATGTTCAACATTCAACAATTCACATTTATATGTGTTCTTTAAATCCACAAAGGTACTATAAGCTTTCTTACATTAACATTTCTCAATGATCTGCTGAAATCCCAAAATCTGGACAGTGTGCAGGGGTAGGCTTCAAAAATTTCAATAACAGGTTCTCTGCTCGGTTGATGGGTGGGCATGGACATGGTGGGCGTGGCCTAGTTGGCCTCCTGCACCATAGGGGGCGTGCTTTCACCTTCCACATGCTCCGGAGGCTTTCTTCAAGCCTCTGGGAGGGGACAAACTGCTTCCCTTGGGCTCCAGAGGCCTTCCGGGAGACCCATTTTTCCCCTTCCCCGAGCCTCCGCACAGGCCCTGCATTACCTTGCATCCAAAATAGGTGCCAAATTGAAGACTCTTGGGAGGGACATGGGGGGGGGTAACAGGGGTGTGGTGTGGTGGGTGGGGCCAACTAGGGGTGGGATTTGGGCCATAATGTTAGCTACAGGTTCTCCAGAACCCGGGCGAACCTGTAGCAGCCCATCCCTGATCTGTTGTCCAGCATAAAGGCATTTCCCAAGTTTTGTTCATCTCCCATAACTATTCACCAAATGCATTTCCATGTTTAGCAAACTGATACCTTATATATTTTTTCAATTCGCTGATACTATCTTTTCCTTTGAATAAGACAACAATAATGGCATTATCCAGTTTATCAGACATAGATGCTCTCTTCGCATACAAGTTACACAAATAGATAGGCGCACCATCACAAATCAAGCCCAGTTATACCATCTATTAGCCATACATTTTTCAACATTTTCCCAGTATTTACAACTTTCTTGTCATCATTTTTCCCTTCGGCACAGAGATTTATAGCATTAATTTCAGTTCCGTTCTTTGACATATTACTCTTTTCTTCTCTGTACACATTATGCCATGTCTTTTCTCTCCATTTTCCTTTTATTTGCTTTTTGTTTTTCATCCGCAACCTTCCTCGCTTCATCATCACACCCACCATCCTTTTTCATTCTTCTCATTAGTGCAACTCCACAGACTTCAGCAGCCCTTTGTGACATAATTCATTTCATTCTGTTCCAAGCAGATCCCACATTCTCCTCCTCTTTCCCTTCCTTTAATTCTGTTGGGGGATTAATCTGTCTCTCCCCCCCACCCCGCATCCCATTCATACCACCTAACAGATTCTTTCCTGCATCTCATTCATTCAGAAAAGGGGACAACCTTTCCCGAAATGCTCACCATAACCCTACCTCCTCCCTAATCCCCATTCATTAATAACTGACACTTTTTCACATGCATTTAAGCTTTTCATTCGTAATGAAACCTTACACTAGGAGACTACGTCTGTTACTACAAATTCTATGTCACTTGGAATCATCACTCATCCAATGAAAAACGGTTCCGTCTCTCTGCGGCTTTATTCACACATTACAATATGCTCAAACGTGGTTTGACTCGTTTTAACATGTTATGCGAAACCAGCCATTGTGATTTCTAAGGGATGGTTGGTGAGCTAGCCTATGCTGTGATCCCAACCAGATGTGGGTTATCCAGGAAGCCATGATTAAACAAACCAAGACTTAGCCAATGTGGGGACTCGATTATGTGTACGACCAGGTTCCAAGATTGTCCCCTTAGATACAGCATCTCAGTAATGATGATTGGCAGTTGAATATATCAACTGCCTCCGTTAAAAATCCATCGTTGGCGCCTAGGTGGATATTCTATGCAGTTGGGTTACCAAAATAGTGCGCTGGCATGCAGATCCCCTTTGATTTCCTGTGTGGACACAACTGTGAAAAAGAACAGCCCATTGTGAGGTTATGTGTTTTTCAGGACCAGTCCTACAAACCATGTTAAGGAAACCAGCTTCTCTTTCTAAGTGGGGAGGTGGAAAATGTGCTTGTGATATTAACCAGGATGAGTTATGCTAACTGCGCAGGGCAATGATTAGTTGCACTATGTTGGGCTGAAATAGATTTAGCACCTGGAAGTTTTAAAAAAAAAGAGTAAATTGATTAATTGTTTTAAAGCAGCAATGTTATTGAGTTTCCCCAGTGTCTGTGTGTTTCTTAATAGAGATTAGACATTAATATGGATTTACAGCATCGGCTCTGGGGACCTTCATTCCAACACCAGGCAGAAGCAAGAGACTGTATAAATGTAAAGGAAACTATAAGTATCCCAAATTTAATTTGATTCAGATAATTTTGCTTTAATCTTAACTTGTTGCGTTATTAACCCCATTGATGTTGTTACTGTTCATTTGCAGCTTCTGCAGCAAGCCACATCCTCCAGTAACTTGGGTGCCTTCAGTGGCATTCAACAAATGGCCGGTGAGTTAAAGCCTCTTTTTATATTCCTTTTCCTCTTTTTCCTCCTGGGGCTGAATTTTAGCCCTTTTTAGTACAAGACGATCCTTCATCTAACCGTATGGTTTAAGGCAGGGGTCCTCAAACTACAGCCCGCCGAAGTCATTAATCCTGCCCATGAGGGACCACAAGGCTGCCCCACCCACATTCTGGAGGCCGAGGAGGCCAAAAACGGGATGCACGGAGGCCTCAGGGAAGCCAAAAATGGGCCCGTTTTGGGGCAGCAGAGTGGTTTTGGAGGCCCGAGAAAGCCAAAAACGGGCACATTTTTGGCCTCCCCAGCCTCTAGAGAGAGGGAGGGAGGGAGAGAGACAGTCAGACATCCCAAGGCAGCTGCATCCCTTCACTAACCTGCTTCCCACCCCCAGGAGAATAACAAATTATTGTGTGTATTATTTAATGGACTGCTAAATTGAACCATGCCCACCCAGTCACATGACCACCTAGCCACACTCATCCAGTCACATGACCACCTAGCCACACCCATCCAGTCACATGACCACCTAGCCACACCAGTGGTGGGTTTCAAAAATTGTTCGAACCTACTCTGTGGGTGTGTGGGAGTGGCTTGCCGCCCATGTGACCAGATATGAAGATGCCAGAACCACCTTAAATTACCTCACTCACAGCACTGGCATGCATAAGAATATGATGTAAAGTTGTTTTTTAAAAAGCATCTTTGGTTTGCGTTAAAACAACTTCAACACACGCAATGTTCTGATTGCACCACAAACGCAGTAGTCATCCTTACCTTTCACAGAGGCACTGAGTTTTATAAATATGAGCATGATAGTGTAGAATAATCATATCCAAGGACCAGTGTGGCCTGCTTTCCGGGTCCACTGGTG